TGAACAGGCCGGAAGGGAAGCAGACAAAGCCGTCCAGGGGTTCCACACTGGGGTCAACCAGGCCGGGAAGGAAGCAGAGAAACTTGGCCAAGGGGTCAACCATGCTGCTGACCAGGCCAGAAAGGAAGTGGAGAAGCTTGGCCAAGGTGCCCACCATGCTGCTGGCCAGGCCGGGAAGGAACAGCAGAATGTTCATAATGGGGTCAACCAAGCCAGCAAGGAGCAGCTGCTGAATGTAGGTGAACAGGGATGGGAAAATGGGGGACAGGGGGGTTTGGGGGAGGGAAAGGTTAAATCCCTGGGACATTTGTTGGGGGGGTCCATGTAGCCTTCATTTGGTGAAGGCTTGGGCAGCTGTATCACTGTGCTCCTCCCCATTCCCCATCTCCCTAACAAAGGAGCTGGTGGCAGCTAGTCAGATGGAGTGAGCCACCTTATCTGCAAAGCACGTATCAGACAAGGTGTGGTGGGCACCCCGTCCCACCTTCAGGGAGCTGTCCTCCTGGTTAAGGGGGCCTCAAGTGGGGACTGGGAAGCGCCTCCTGGGGAACGGGAAACAGTTCCTGAGATCAAGATCCAGTACAGTGCAAAGGGATTGAGTGTTGAGAAAACCCAGTTAGGAGAGGCAGCATGAGAAGTAGCTTGTGGAGATGAGCCCTGGCCTCTGTAATCTTCATAACAACCCTCTGACGTAGTTAAGAAGAGGCTGCTGACGCCCTGATAAGGAAACGGAGGCTCAGAGAGGTTAGGGGACCTGCCAAGCTCCTGGGCTAGTGCCCAGCTTTGCAGAGGGCATGCCAGGGTTCTCTTCCCCTACATTGCCCCGCCAGGAGAGGTTTTCTATGTTTCTGTCACTCATTTATGTAGAGGGAACAGAGGCCGGGTGCAGTGGCTCATGCCTATAATCCCAGCACTTTGGGAGGCCAAGGCAGGTGAATCACTTGAGGTCAGGAGTTCAAGAGCAGCCTGGCCAACTTGGTGAAACCCCATCTCTACTAAAAATACAAAAATTACCTGGGCGTGGTGGCGGGCGCCTGTAATCCCAGCTACTCGGGAGGCTGAGTCAGGAGACTTGCTTGAACTTGCGAAGTGGAGGTTGCAGTGAGTCAAGATCATACCACTGCACTCTATCCTTGGCAACAGTGAGACTCCGTCTCAATAAATAAATAAATAAAGTAAGTAAGTAAGTAGACGGAACAGAGACGAGGCGGGCAACTAGCACCACTGACAACAGAACAAGCACCAAGGAGGGAGTGTGGGGAGCAGGAGAGGGTGGACTCCTGTGCGCCCCCACTCTCCAGGGATCCACAAGATGTGACTGGCTCAGACCTGGAAGCCCAGAGCCACATCTGCCGCCAGACAGAGCCAGGGATGGGTGGGTGGGGAGGAACGGTGCAGTAGAGGAGTGGGCACGGCAGGCTGCGGGATTTGGGGCTGGCAACAGCAGCCGGGGGTTGGGGCGCTGCTGGTGTGCATGGCTGAGTGTCTGGGGCTGGGTCAAGGACAGTGATCAGCGGCATTAAGGATGCAGCTAGACAGGGCATAGAAAGGTAGATTTGAGGTCAGGGCTGAGGTTAAACTAAGGTCCTGATAGTCACATGGGTCCCCTACCTTCCCTTTCCACCAGGCCCCTCCTCAGTGACTAAAGGCACTTGGTTAAGGAAATGAAAAGGGGCTTTGGGAAGGAAAAGGCAGCAGGGGGCAGAATGCCCACAGTGAGGAGGCAGTGGGTTAAGCTGCACCTCCCACCCAGCCCCAGTCACCCTGGAGGGGACCAGATCACTGGGGAAAAGGAATGGGGAGACCCCCCCCCAGCTCCCCACAGGATTGAGGGGTTGTAACAAGAGTCTGGGCTTTGTCCACAGGGCAGCCATCACGGCGGATCTTCCGGCCATCAAGGAGGGGCCGCAACCACGCCGTTAGCCTCTGGGGTAAGTGCGGACCCCAGGGTAGGGGAGAGGAGGTCCCTGGGAGTTCCCTAGCATGGCTGTAGGTCAGATGCTGGAGACTGACCTTCTTGTCCTTGAATTGCAGGCCTCGGTCAACACGCCTTTCATCAACCTTCCCGCTCTGTGGAGGGTAAGTGCCACGTTGTGTCTCCTTCCTGCTCTGCATCCTGACAGATACTCTAACCCTGACCCCTTCCTTTTGTCTGTTTGGACAGCTCCCCCGAGACCAGACCTACAGCCTCTGCAGAGACCCTCCAACCTGATTCCCAGCTCTGGGCTTCCCTCCCTCCACCCACTCCCTCCCCTTCACACCCTGCCCTCATCTTTTGGGTGCTTTTCATTTCCACTGAGGCAAACACAAGCTGGCAGAAGAGACCTCTGGGCCCAGGTGCCCCTGGGAGCCAGGGAGGGAGGAGGGTGGCTGGCTGTTCTCATTCCCTCTCTCTCCCTGTCTTCGTTCCTCGATTCCCATTTGCTGACTGGTTTCCCTCCTGTCCCCACTCTGCTGCCAATGCCTCTGCTCCATGCTGGGAGGGGGAACCTGTGGCTTTGTCCTCTCCCTGGTGTGACATCACCCCAGTGTAGAGGATCCTGTGGAATCCTGGTTCCCACTTGGGGCTCAAAGTAACCTCCTGACTCTCTTTCTTTATTTTAATTTATTGATATGGAGTCTCACTCTGTCTCCTAGGCTGGAGTGCAGTGGCACAATCTCAGCTCACTACAACCTCTGCCTCCTGGGTTCAAGCAATTCTTCTGCCTCAGCCTCCTGAGTAGCTGGGATTACAGGCGCCTGCCACCATGCCTGGCTAATTTTTGTATTTTTAGTAGAGACAGAGTTTCACCATGTTGACCAGGCTGGTCTTGAACTCCTGACCTCAAGTGATCTGCCTGACTTGGCCTCCCAAAGTCTGGGATTACAGGCATGAGCCACTGCGCCTTGCCTCTTTTTGCATTTATTCTATTTGCTGCCTGAGACTGGGCACAGGCCAGGGTGAGGGTGTGTCAAGGAGGTGGAAGGCCCACCCTGTGTATCCTGGGCCACAGGGGCAGCAGAACATCCTCTGAGGCTACACACATGAGGCTTGTTGGCTCCTGCAAAGGCCCCAGCCCCTCTGCCTGTGAGGGCTGGCTTCCTTGTGCTCTTAAGTCTAGATGCTGTCTTCCTGAAGCTGTTCCCCAGAACCTAACTCTGGGGCCAGAGCAGCCAGTGCTCCTTGCACTTCTCCCATGGGGCGGGGCTGAGGTCTGGCCCACCCTCGCTTCACAACTGTGGACCCTGCATTCATCCCTGCTCTCCTTCTCTCTTCTAGGGCATCGCCGACATCATGCCCTAAACTGACACCCCACCTTCCTGGGAGACTAATGCTGCCGTTGTCACATCAGCTGACATGACCTGGAGGGGCTTGGGGTGGGGGGCAGGTTTCTGGAGTCCCTGAAGGGGGTCCTTCTGGGATTTGTGAATAAACTCGATAACACTATGCCGTCTCTTCATGGTCCCCTGGGCTCCCTAAGGAGGGATGGACAGGGAGGCAGGAGGGGCTTGTCTTGTCTTGTTACTTTGCTGAAGGAGTCGGGTCATCCGATGCACAGGGTGGGTTGAGCTGGAGATTTTAGGCTGATCAGCCATAACTGGGCAGGTAACGGGGACAAACTATGCTTTGCTGGGGTGCAAAGTTCGTGCTTGCTACTGGCAGGAGGACTTGTGCAGGGAAAACCACCACAGGCCACTGGTGGGACAGACACGCCGGGTGAGAATGGCCTGGGCCCAGGAGGTAGTGTCCTAGCCAGGGGGGTTGGGAGGCCAAAGAATAACAACAATGACTTGTCTGTATTGTGCAGTTAAGACTTGGCAGGCTGCCTGCCGGGAGCGTCACCTGCATGACATCATTGACTCCTCCCACCCACCCAGTTAGGTGAAAGGCTCTGCTACTGCCCCATTTTATAGAGAAGCGTGAGGGGCTTGCACAGGTTAAGAAACCGACCAAGTTTACACAGTAAGTGGAGGGAGTGAAACAGTGAAGAGCTGTAGAGGATATTCTGGGAAAACACAGGTCTTTGCCCTTTGGCATCAGCAGGGAGGGGGAATTGGTGAATAAGAAAAGTGAGACGGGGTGGGGGAGCCTCTCGGGAAGGAGGGGGAAGGATGGAAGGCTCAGGGGGAGACTCACTGGTGACAGAAGCCACCTGAGTGGAGGAACAGGAGGCCCCATTTTCAGATCTGTGGACCATTCACAGCCCAGAGGAATAATGATTACAATTTCTGAGTATAGAGCACTTGCTAGACTCAAGGTACTGTGTAGAGTTGTTCATATTCTTTTTTTTTTTTTTTTTGAGACAGGGTCTTGCTTTTTCACCCAGGCTGGAGTGTACAGCCGTGATCATGGCTCACTGCAGCCTCAACCTCCTGGGCTCAAGCAGTCCTCCCAGCTCAGCCTCCTGAGTAGCTGTAACTACAGACTACAGGCACGCGCCACCACACTTGGCTAATTAATTTTTTTTTTTTTTTTGGCTGGTCGTGGTGACTCACGCCTGTAATCCCAGCACTTCGGGAGGCTGAGGTGGGCGGATCACGAGAGTAGGAGTTTGAGAGCAGCCTGACCAACATGGGGAAACCCCATCTCTACTAAAAATACAAAAAGAGAAAAAAAATTAGTGGGGTGTGGTGGCACATGCCTGTAATCCCAGTTAGTCAGGAGGCCGAGGCAGGAGAATCGCTTGAACCCAGGAGGTGGAGGTTGCAGTGAGCCAAGATCGTGCCAACAGCCTGGGCGACAGGGTGAGACTCTGTCTCAAAAAAAAAAAAAAAAATTCTTTTTTTGAGAGACAGGGCCTCACTATATTGTCCAGGCTGTTCTCAAGCTCCTGGGCTCAAGGGGCTCAAGAGATTCTGATGCCTCAGCCTCCCAAAGTGGTGGGATTACAGACATGAGCCACTTTGTCTGGCCTGTTCATGTTCTTTAACCATAACCCAAAGACAAAAGCCCTCTAATCATCACCATTGTATGAATGAGGACGCTGCAGATCAGTGGGAGCAGGGCGCTGGCCGAGAAAGCAGCAGACCTGGGTCTGGCTCCCTCTGTGGCCAGCAGCTGACCTCTCATGGTTGCCTCTGAAGTCCCTGTAACACTCCCAGGCACTCACCTGGGTGCTGGGAGGCTTGCATTCCAATCAGAAGCGGAGGTCTGAAGGCAGCCTACTTCCACCTCTAGGGGCCACGGTTTCCTTCTGTATAAAGGGAAGCAGGCATTCAACAAGTCTTGCTTCCAGCTCCAAAACTCCATTAATTGTGGGACCAAAAATAAGAGACAGTGTTCTTGCCCTGGGGGTATTCACAGTGTTCCTGGGAGGCAAGGCCTGTAAACAGAATATGAATGCAAACATATGAAGCCCTGTGTCAGTAAGAGTTCAATGGGGTGGGGGGAGCTGCATTTGTACAAAAAATATGATGCGCGGGACTCCATGTTTGGGTCTCCTTCCATGAATACTCTCCTGGATTTCTCCTCTGGAGTCCCCTTCCACACTCTCTCGTGGAAGCCGGCCTTCCCCTCCTAAACTCCATCTCTCTATTCCCCTCCACTCAGTGTGGAAGCTGCTTTCCTCTCCTGGATTCCCTCTTTCTGGATTCTCTCACTCAGTGTGCCGAGTTAGCTGTTTCTCTAAGTAAATCACTTTCTACAACACTTCTTGAGCTCGGCATTTACTACGCACTGTGCCATGGTCTCCTCACCCATACTTAGGAAGCGACTGACCAAGAACCTGGAGAAATATCCTCTCAGGGGAACAGAGGGGGCACCCCTGAACCCCAATATTACATTTTCATGAGCCAGCCAGAAGAGGCGTACAGCCAGGAGAGGGGTACACCAGGAAAGGGATACAGCCAGAGAAAAAGACTTCAAAACTGTGAGTAAAACTGGCCCCATTCTGTCCTGTCTTTTTAAGAACACCTGAAGTGGCTGCAGCCAGGCTGGGCTGCGGGGAGAGAACCCGAGCGGCACCTCAGAGGCACGACCCAGCTGGCCTTAAGCAGCACGGCCTAGCCCTCTTAAGTGCGGCGGGCCAGCCAGAATTAAAAGTGCAGTTTTTTT